CTCGAACCAGGGACCCTCGCTTGTAGCCAGCGATGCTCTAACCACTGAGCTATGGTGTAGTCGTCATCCAAGCAGAGACCGTTCAACGTTTTCTTCAGACTTCAATAATAATAATAATAATAATAATAATAATAATCATGAAGTTGGTTGCTCCAACGAGGAGCACACGCTTCTTGCCGACCTTGACACTTGACTGACTCACGACTGCCATCCGGAGCACACGAGGAGCACGTCGAACCTTCCGCTCGGCAAACCTGAAAGAAAGCACCACTCCCTGCTCAATAGACAGTGTTTCGGGGAATTCACCCCTCATCAGTTGAGCTTGAGTAGGCTGAGGAAGATTGTGCCTGAAAAGCACCACTTATATACTGCTCTCCAGGCCAAACCATCACCAGGGATACAAACTTACAGAGACGCTTTGTTTCCAGCGCGACAAACACCTCGTGAAGCCCCAGGTAGCAGCGTGAGTCAGAGTCGCTCATGGAGTGGTGCTAAACAGACGTTGAGAGCCAGTATAGCTATTCACAACGCTGTCACCTCCAACAACGAGGTGTTTGTCGCGCTGGAAACAAAGCGTCTCTGTAAGTTTGTATCCCTGGTGATGGTTTGGCCTGGAGAGCAGTATATAAGTGGTGCTTTTCAGGCACAATCTTCCTCAGCCTACTCAAGCTCAACTGATGAGGGGTGAATTCCCCGAAACACTGTCTATTGAGCAGGGAGTGGTGCTTTCTTTCAGGTTTGCCGAGCGGAAGGTTCGACGTGCTCCTCGTGTGCTCCGGATGGCAGTCGTGAGTCAGTCAAGTGTCAAGGTCGGCAAGAAGCGTGTGCTCCTCGTTGGAGCAACCAACTTCATGACTATTACCGCCGAAGTCGCAACTTCTAAGTTAATAATAATAATAATAATAATAATAATAATAATAAAAAAAAAAAAAAGGGTTTGCTCCCCACACCGGAGCTCGCGCTATTCCGCCGACTTTACTTGACACTTGACTGACTCACGACTGCCATCCAGAGCACACGAGAAGTCCATCGAACCTTCGACTCGGCAAACCTGCAAGAAGGCACCACTCCCTGCTCAATACACAGTGTTTGGGGGAATTCACCCCTCATCAGTTGAGCTTGAGTAGGCTGAGGAAGATTGTGCCTGAGGAGCACCACTTATATAGTGCTCTCCAGGCACGACCATCACCAGGGATACAAACTTACAGAGACGCTCCGTTTTCAGCGCGACAAACACCTCGTGAGCACCAGATAGCAGCGTGAGTCAGTGTCAGTGGGTGAATTCTCCGAAACACTGTGTATTGAGCAGGGAGTGGTGCCTTCTTGCAGGTTTGCCGAGTCGAAGGTTCGATGGACTTCTCGTGTGCTCTGGATGGCAGTCGTGAGTCAGTCAAGTGTCAAGTAAAGTCGGCGGAATAGCGCGAGCTCCGGTGTGGGGAGCAAACCCTTTTCTTACAAATCATCGCCGAGGTCGCAACCACTACTTCGTAATAATAATAATAATAATAATAATTTTAGAATTGCGATCAACAGAACGAGCTGAACCGACATTTCACAAAGGCTTTTATTGTTTTCAAAAAACGAGTGGATACGAAGGCAGTGAAGAACATGGAAGAAAGAAAAAATCTGATATGGAAAAAAATGATGAACAAAAATTTTTTTGTACTTCGAACTAGTTTTCGCACAACACTCCTCAGGAAGCTACGTTGTACTAATGAAAAACAATCCAGAAAGATACTAATAAAGAGAAATGGAGTGAGAAGAAACAACACCTATGAAAATGATAATCCTAGCACTAAGGTAATAACAGGAAAAACTGCGAAAGCACTTAACGAACTTGTAAGGACTACTAGTATACTGTGACACAAGATATGACACCATGGCCAACCAGAGCCAAACCGACAGAACAAGCTGCCACTAAAACAATTTCAAACGAATAATGCTGTCCTTCTGGACACACAGATTAGGCTTATGAATACGTTGACAAACAGCTTCTAACACACTCAACTGCAACTTATAACCATGACGAGCACGGCACAAAACAGAAAAAGAAGAATCAGAATACACCTTGCAACAATCAGGACGAGATGCAAGATGCTTATACACTGATGACTTCCTACTAGACAACACACGCTCGCACCCACTCTTACTCACACAATCCCGACCCCGTAAACAACCACTACCTCCGCCAACACAGGACCTAGCGTCCCACTCGGCAAGTCCACCATTGGCTCCCGTGGCCATGACCAAGTCACTCCCTCCACCAGCGGAGGTGGATGTGGCTTCGGCGACGCCACGTGTGTTGCATGCAGACACGTTTGCATCAGCATCGCTTGCTGCATCACCGGCAGAGACGACAAAAATACCTACCTCAATATCAACGAGACCCAGAAGAACAACTGCTAATTACACCATGACCTATTTCAGTACGGAAGTACCGAGCCAACGTAATACACAACAGGAACGTGAGACGAGGGATGGGAGGAGACGGGACCTGATTGCTCCGAGGCAGGACGTCGTTGAGGAGGATTCGGCCAGTGAGTCCAGTGATTCCGGTGAGTGTGAGAGCGAGAATGATTGTGTGAGTAAGAGTGGGTGCGAGCGTGTGTTGTCTAGTAGGAAGTCATCAGTGTATAAGCATCTTGCATCTCGTCCTGATTGTTGCAAGGTGTATTCTGATTCTTCTTTTTCTGTTTTGTGCCGTGCTCGTCATGGTTATAAGTTGCAGTTGAGTGTGTTAGAAGCTGTTTGTCAACGTATTCATAAGCCTAATCTGTGTGTCCAGAAGGACAGCATTATTCGTTTGAAATTGTTTTAGTGGCAGCTTTTTCTGTCGGTTTGGCTCTGGTTGGCCATGGTGTCATATCTTGTGTCACAGTATACTAGTAGTCCTTACAAGTTCGTTAAGTGCTTTCGCAGTTTTTCCTGTTATTACCTTAGTGCTAGGATTATCATTTTCATAGGTGTTGTTTCTTCTCACTCCATTTCTCTTTATTAGTATCTTTCTGGATTGTTTTTCATTAGTACAACGTAGCTTCCTGAGGAGTGTTGTGCGAAAACTAGTTCGAAGTACAAAAAAATTTTTGTTCATCATTTTTTTCCATATCAGATTTTTTCTTTCTTCCATGTTCTTCACTGCCTTCGTATCCACTCGTTTTTTGAAAACAATAAAAGCCTTTGTGAAATGTCGGTTCAGCTCGTTCTGTTGATCGCAATTCTAAAACTATTGTCGCCTCGACGCCTATTTAAATAATAATAATAATAATAATGGGGGTAATGAAAGAGACAAAGACAACAAAAGAGTAGCACATTTTGGTGCTGCAAGAGCTGTGCTGGTCAAGCGCAGTGCACACCTCCCACCATTCCGGGCTCTGAATCAACATGGACTGTGCGGGCCAAGGGGGTATACTATGAATGATAGACGTATTATAAGAGTATCTGAAAAGTGAAACAGAAATGGGAAAGAGAAGTTTAACAAAAGCAAATAATAGAGATTGATCAAGCTTCAGTTTGCGTAGGTCCCCTGACAGTCTTTTAAAAAGAAAAAAAGAAAAAAAAAGAGAGAGAGAGAAAGAGAGAGAAAGAGAGAGAGAGAGAGAGAGAGAGAGAGAGAGAGAGAGAGAGAGAGAGAGTGAGAGAGAGAGAGAGAGAGAGAGAGAGAGAGAGAGAAAGAGACAGAGAGACAGAGAGAGACAGCAGAGGGATAACAGAGAGAGAGAGAGAGAGAGAGAGAGAGAGAGAGACGAGAGAGAGAGATCCATGAAAGCAGTTATCACTTCTAGCAGTCTACATGTACAGTTCCAGGGTTCATACCTGGTATACTAGTACTTATAATGTACCCTGGAACTGTACACAGCTAGAGTCACTGGTATAATCACAAAAGCATTCATGTTGTGAATCAGAATATAACTGTAAAACCGGGAATTTTTGGTGGCGTAATATTTTTGGTATTTCCTAAATTCAACAGTTCGGCTGCGCCAAATTCCTGCACACTTATTTTGCAGATGCAAAATTGCAAAATTGCATCTTGCACACTGTGTGGCATGGCATGGTTGAATTTTGGGTGGCATTTATTTTATTTAATTTAATTTATTTCTGCACCTCGTGGCATGTCAAGACAGCCAATTGAATTGAGGAGAGGGTGAGACCAACCACGGAAGAAGAGAAAAAAGAAAAGAAATGAAGAGCACGTACACAAAGTGGGAAAGGATTAGCAACTTACACAGCAATGGGATGCTCAGCGAGCTATGCAGCGGAAGTGGTGACTGTGATTTAGTTTACTGGGAGATAGTCATACTGGAGTGCTGTCTGACGAGGGTACGGAATTTGGGCATATCTGGAGCTTGTCTAACGCTGGGAGGCAGTTGGAGCCACGTGGAGTAGGAGGAAAAGAAAGGGGAATTTACGAAAAGGGTAGACCTAGCTAGGGGGAGACGAACGCAGCTTCGGGTGGTGCCACCTGACTTAAACCAGCTAAGGGACTGTAAATGAGCAGGGTGCTGGTCAAGAAAAATTGAATGTGCCAGGGTGCACTTGGAATCACCAAGGAAGTGTTGCAGAGTGGTAGTGGATGCAGCAGCATACAAGTCCAGATTTGCGAGATACTAGTAACGATCAGTACGAAATATGATGCGCAGTATTCGGCGATGGAGAACTTCTAATTTGCCTATGTGGGTTTTGTTAATGGTGGACCAGGCAGGGAAGCCGTACGTGAAGAGGGGAAGAATGTATCATTTATAAAAACTAATCCGGCAATTTTGGGGCAAATGGGACAAGTGACTTGACATTATGCCGACAGATCGGCATACTTTGGACGACACATGATCATTTTTTGAAGGTAAAATTACCTGTACCGAAGTTGCCGAAAATATATCTCTATCACAAAATTTTTCGGTTTTACAGTATTCTGATCCACAAGATGAATGTTTTAAAAGAGAGGTAAATATGCATGGTATTTCTGACGCACAATTTCACGTCAAATTTGGCATAAAACTCCAAATTTCGACGTGCGCTGCAGGTCACTCGCATTGTTTTCCAACGCGCGAGAGAGATCCATGAAAGCGAGCTGAACGTTCGGGTCACGTCAGGAATACCGTGCCTCTTAACCTCTCTGTTATCACACGTAAATCGCCTCGAGGGAGTCAGATAAGAGTCGTCAGTATATTTGCATTTTGCCGTGGCAGTAACATGCAAGTCTGGAAATGGCTGTGTTGCGTGGTGTTATCCGTTCGCACGAATCAAGTCAGTATCCACGCCTGTGCACACGGCCCAGTGTTCGCAGATCTGCAGCTGCACCGGACCAGACGCGTACTTTACTCCCGCAATCCAACTTCACTGAGCGGCACCGATGAATGCAACTGTTGCCATGACAACAGTAAAGTAAAGAGAAGTTTGATGCTCGCGACGTCGAAGCTCACACTCCCTGCCTGCTCGCCATCCCGGACTGGCACTGTACTGAGACACGATTGCCATCTGAAGTACACCGGCTGAGTGCTGTATGCGCGAGGGCTAAATGGAGTGGGTCCGGCGAAAGCCGAGTGGTGGTTCATTCACTCCAGAGGTTGCTGACTGCTCACCCGTGAGGTACTCTTCTTCCGGATACATAACCAAGCCGAGATCTCTGCAGAGTGGACAATAGCAAGAATGAGAAGAAGGCCAGATGTCTGACTAATACACACACACACACACACACACACACACACACACACACACACACACACACACACACACACACACACACACACACACACACACACACACACACACACACACACACACACACACACACACACACACACACACACACACACACACACACACACACACACACACACACACACACACACACACACACACACACACACACACACACACACACACACACACACACACACACACACACACACACACACACACACACACACACACACACACACACACACACACACACACACACACACACACACACACACACACACACACACACACACACACACACACACACACACACACACACACACACACACACACACACACACACACACACACACACACACACACACACACACACACACACACACACACACACACACACACACACACACACACACACACACACACACACACACACACACACACACACACACACACACACACACACACACACACACACACACACACACACACACACACACACACACACACACACACACACACACACACACACACACACACACACACACACACACACACACACACACACACACACACACACACACACACACACACACACACACACACACACACACACACACACACACACACACACACACACACACACACACACACACACACACACACACACACACACACACACACACACACACACACACACACACACACACACACACACACACACACACACACACACACACACACACACACACACACACACACACACACACACACACACACACACACACACACACACACACACACACACACACACACACACACACACACACACACACACACACACACACACACACACACACACACACACACACACACACACACACACACACACACACACACACACACACACACACACACACACACACACACACACACACACACACACACACACACACACACACACACACACACACACACACACACACACACACACACACACACACACACACACACACACACACACACACACACACACACACACACACACACACACACACACACACACACACACACACACACACACACACACACACACACACACACACACACACACACACACACACACACACACACACACACACACACACACACACACACACACACACACACACACACACACACACACACACACACACACACACACACACACACACACACACACACACACACACACACACACACACACACACACACACACACACACACACACACACACACACACACACACACACACACACACACACACACACACACACACACACACACACACACACACACACACACACACACACACACACACACACACACACACACACACACACACACACACACACACACACACACACACACACACACACACACACACACACACACACACACACACACACACACACACACACACACACACACACACACACACACACACACACACACACACACACACACACACACACACACACACACACACACACACACACACACACACACACACACACACACACACACACACACACACACACACACACACACACACACACACACACACACACACACACACACACACACACACACACACACACACACACACACACACACACACACACACACACACACACACACACACACACACACACACACACACACACACACACACACACACACACACACACACACACACACACACACACACACACACACACACACACACACACACACACACACACACACACACACACACACACACACACACACACACACACACACACACACACACACACACACACACACACACACACACACACACACACACACACACACACACACACACACACACACACACACACACACACACACACACACACACACACACACACACACACACACACACACACACACACACACACACACACACACACACACACACACACACACACACACACACACACACACACACACACACACACACACACACACACACACACACACACACACACACACACACACACACACACACACACACACACACACACACACACACACACACACACACACACACACACACACACACACACACACACACACACACACACACACACACACACACACACACACACACACACACACACACACACACACACACACACACACACACACACACACACACACACACACACACACACACACACACACACACACACACACACACACACACACACACACACACACACACACACACACACACACACACACACACACACACACACACACACACACACACACACACACACACACACACACACACACACACACACACACACACACACACACACACACACACACACACACACACACACACACACACACACACACACACACACACACACACACACACACACACACACACACACACACACACACACACACACACACACACACACACACACACACACCATTGGACCATTGGACGCCCATCGCCGGAGGCGATGATAGCGATGCTACAGCAGAAGCCATAGCAGCTTGTGCTGGGATTGCACCATTCAACAGCTTGCAAGGCTGAAGAATTGACTGCCACTATTCAGCCTGGTCTACACCACACAGCTATGAAGTGGCTTTTTCTGGCCAGTGAATCCCTACTTTTTGGTCTGTTTCATATTCTTTTCCCTGCACACACATTACACCACATACTCCGGCATGCACTGGCTGTTGGTAACCACCCATGAGAATGAAAGAAAAGTCAGGAGGAGTCTGAGAAAGAGAATAAAGACGTGTGTGACCATAATTGTTGGGAATCGAACCCACAACCTATCGATTGGAAATCACTGCACATACCACTGCACCACACAAACACACACACACACACACGCACACACGTACACACATACATACACCTTGAACCTTGAACGCCCATTGCCGTAGCAATGATAGCGATGGCTTCCTCACGCTGAGGCTCTGAAATCTGCAGTATGGCGCATGCCGCTTGAGGTCACCAGGACGACGGAACACTCTGTCACAGCGGTAGTTACATACACACATACAGTAGCACACATACACACACACACACACACACACACACACACACACACACACACACACACACACACACACACACACACACACACACACACACACATAACATCCACATACAGGGAATGCATAACGTACGTCATGTACATATCTTGTGGTGACTCTTGTCTGAATGCCATGTTCTCGGTGATGTTCAGTGTTAGCATTGGAATGCGTTCGCGCTCGCATCCCGGTGTAGCCGGATAGCTGCTCAATAACTCTTCATCTTCATCTGTGCAACGGTCAGAGAGAAAACCAGGTTTCAGCTAAGCTTCTTATAGAGCGGCTTATATATTATCACCCCCCTACCAATCTCTACCGCCCTCTGATTAGATATGCTCTTCCTCGAACAGCTACGCCAACCCTCATAATCCCGCGGGGTAGTGTAGAAATCCCATTCCTACCCAGCTTTACAATTTTTTGTATAGACTGCCGCCATGATGAACACTGATTGTTACAGGGATCTCTTGGCATATCGGCCATCTTCATTTGGATATGATGTTCCACATATCTGCCATAAATACTAGTCATTACTGCTAAAAAAAAGTAAAAATTCAAAGTTTAATGTCTTCACCACCTTCATCATTGGGGCAAAAATTTCTTTTGCCTGATGGCAAGGCAGGTGACAAGGCTAACCGAATAAGCGAAAGGCAGCCAACCCACAATTCACTTCATAAACCAGGAATACTCCCCTAGTTCATACCTGTGCTGGTGTTGACAACACAACTTTGGCTGAGCTCCGGTTTTGATAGAATCGTCCCGAAGCCATGCATCACCCAACAGTAGATTACTGCGCAGCAAACCAAGAATCCAAGCGAACCTGCCACAATGGCGCAGACGTTTTGCAGCGAAAGATTAATCTTAGGATCTCTTCCTTGCTGGTCCACACCTGCAGGAGTTCAACAAAGGAAATTAAAAAATCAAATTATTTAGGCAAGAGTTGGCAGGGATAGACTGGTAACTTGCCACATACTCACTGAGGCAAATATTTATTTTATTTATTTATTATTTCTGCACCTCGTAGCATGTCAAGACAGCCAATTGAACTGAGGAGAGGGTGAAGCCAACCACGGCAGACGAGATGAAAGAAAACGAACAGCACGTACACAAATGATGGATATTGTAAGTCAACAAATATCCAGCTCCTGCTTATTTTTGTCTATTCTCGGCCTGGGCTTTTTGGCCTGAAATTTGTTTGGCAAGGTCCAGTGTGACAGTGCATACAGGCAGGCAGTAGCACTGCTGGCCGAAATGTTCATGCGCCCGAAATGTGTTTTAGCCCTGGGAGGCTGAAATTTAAAAGCGCCCAAGATGTGAAGACTTTCAGTACCCATGAACTTGCATTAGTTTTGAGATGGAAATCTCACAACGAATGCAAGTTCATGGGTACTGTTGTAAGTATGCAAGTTTGTGCAAAGCCGTTGCATTTTCTCGTGGCCCTTTAGACTGTTGCCCGGTGTAGAGATCACCCACTGATGCACTGCCACCTGCTTACCGCCTTTCTAATTCACCTGCTGAATTTTGATCATCCATCAAGACTTTCCTAGGGTTCCCTGTAAGAAGGCGATGAGGGAATTCCCTAGTAAAATACGAATAAAAAAATTAAAAAATGATAGAAACCAGAAGAAGGAAAAGTGACCTCTTCCTGAAAATAATGGAGAAGGGTCAGTGCCTGAAGAATTCCCACTGGATTTCCCCACAAATCTACTGTAGCGTACATGGAAATCCAGTCCATTGACCGGGGCCGGCGCCCTCAGCGCGTACAGAACGCTGCGTGCAGTGCACAGTCATGTTGATCCGACGCGACCAGCGTGCTGCATGCGGCGCATAAATGCATGTGTGAACCGCTTAGTCTTTACGTATCCACGACGGCATGGTGAGCACCTTGGGGCGGTTAGACGTGCGACCGGATTTCCATGTCCACAACAGTAGTAGCTGAACAGAGGGAAGGGATTGGGAATGCACAGATATCAATTGCATCAATCTGTTCATGAACCGCGTACATTCGTCAAACGATGGCGTACCTGTGCTGAACTGAACATAGGCTCCTGGTCCCAGACCAGCTTGATTTCGTGCCTGCAGCTGGGCTGTGTACAGTCCTGATGGTCTGATGCCACGCATCAAAATTGACCAGCTCCTATTGGCCGAATCTGGACACACGGGACATCCACATGGGGAACCTGCACAGCACAGTTACACAACACAGTCACACAACACAGT